GTAATTGAATTTAGAAATTGATGGCTAATAATCGATGAGTTTCAGCTATTTGTGTTTTATAAACAAACTTATGGTGCAACACTTAAAAAAATTTATTTTTTTAAATGTATTAAGTTATATAAGTTATGTTCTTAAAAAAAAGAAATTAATCTAAGTTTAAAAAAATTATTCAAAATTTTAAAAAATAATAATAATAAAAACTTAGACATTGTTTGGTTTGAGGGGATGGCATGACTTTAAGCAACCAAATTAAGTGTTAAGCCAAGTAAATTAATTTAATTTGATTGATCGAAATAGTTTTTTTTTTTTTTTTTTGTCCTAACTCTAAAGACCTAAAGCAAGTATCTAAAGGAGAACAAGAGGTAGAAACTAAAAACGACGGAATTCACTTCACATGAATGCCGAAAGCAGTCTCTCATTCATTTAATCATGTGACAATCATAATGACCGAGTCTGAGGAGTAGGAGCCACCGACATTAGAGTGCGGGTCTTTATCTCTACTCCATATCAGGCACCCATACTTCTTTTCTATTTAATGCGCTAAGAAGTGATCCTTTTTGCTTTTTCCTCCATTTATTATTGTCACTTGCCAGATGAAGTAGCTATTAATGTTGTTTTTAAAGGCTTCTGATGCTAGCTTTAATTTCTTTTTTAATTATTTATGAGTACAAAGTTCTGATTATCTGTGATGCCTATAAGATGTTCGACGATATTTCCGTGTGAACTTTGAACTCTGTTTTTCGAGGTTGTATCTGGGGGAATGCTTCCTAATTAAAAAAAATGAACCAGGTTTAACATAATGGACATAGAATGTGGCTAGCATATCGATTGAAAATGATGCCACTGCTAGCCGCAAATCTTAGAATGGAAGATCCTATAGAATCAGTAGTCATAAGCTACTGGATTTGTTATGATTATGAATGTTATCAGCAGCCCTGAATTTTGTTTTACTGTATTGTTTTGACCCATTCTCCAAGTTGCCAAAAGAAAAAGGGAATCTTGCATGGGCTAGAACTTGGGAGCTTGCAATTTATTAAACTCGTCCATGTGCACCATTTTTATCACCCTTTTACAGCTTGTGGTTGAGATTAAAGAACCTAATCTTGTGAAGAACCTAATCTTGTAAGTTGGGTAGATTAATTTTCGACCGCCAAAGAATCTAGCAACTAGCTAAGTGCTAACGGGTAAATATATTAGTTTTTAAGTATCTAATGTCCTCGCACATGATCAAAAGGCAACAATTAGTCATCGCAGAGAGGTATGTCAGATTGCCATTTAGTTTTGTCCCACTAAATTAAAAGAAAAGAAAATAATAATTCTTCACATGTTAATCAGCAGTTAATGACATTGTGACTTTGCAAGTACATACTTTTTCTGTTCATTCAATAACTAATTAGGAGGAAAATATAATTTTTAAACTTAAAAGGTCAAATTGGCTCTTGAACTCAGTCTATAGTCTATAGTTGCAAGTACTAACATAGTTAATTGCATGCAACATGGACAATTTGCTCAATAAACTTGCAAGCAAAGCTGTCAAAGTTTGCCATTTTGTCTGCGAGGTTAAACATGACAAAGGATTCGTGAAATGGACCGGGGACAAACTGCACGGCCATCCTTTTATATAGTATTTCTTTTGCGCATCTAGCATAACTTGAGGAATCTTCTCCCCTTTGCTTATTAAAAAAACTAAATTGATTCAAAATAAGTTAAGTCTCACAGAACCTTCCTAAGTGCTGGGGACTTACCTGCTAAAAAAAATGAAGCTTCCCTGGTGTGGGGCCTCACATATTCCATATAGCCCTTCCACTCCCTTCCCCCTTTTCTCTTTTTCTTCTTTTTATTCGGTTTTTCTTGGTTGTACACTTGTACTCTTGCTTTATTTTATATTTTTAGCCATGTATAAATACCAGTGCTAGTGCTGCTCAAATTGTAGCGCTTAGTACTTCTCCTTTTCCTTCCTCTTTTGGCTTTCTAAGTTAGTCTAGTTCTCTAGGTTGACAACACAAAATTTTAAACTTCAAACATTTTTAACTTCATCCCCATTGACAATGGCCAAAGCCACATGCAACTGTTTGGTCTTTCTACTAATGATTTTGTCCCATGAACTTCTCTTTGTCGAGGGAAGGAGCTTGGGACTGAAGGCAAACTCAACAACAACAACATTGCTGAG